ACAATATCATCCATGTATGCTTCCACATTCCGACTGATTTGAGTGAGCAGACACTTCTGAATCATCCTCATGAATGTGGCTCCAGCATTCTTGAGGCCGAACGGCATGGTAACATAACAGAAGCACCCGAATGGAGTGATGAAAGCTGTTTTGATCTCGTCAGGTCCATACAGACGGATCTGATGGTACCCGGAATAGGCGTCTAAAAAAGACAGTCGCTCACATCCCGTAGTCGAGTCGACTATCTGGTCGATGCGGGGGAGAGGAAAATGATCTTTCGGGCAGGCCCGATTGATATGTTTAAAGTCAATGCACATGCGAAGTGACTTGTCCTTCTTCGGGACCATGACAACGTTGGCGAGCCACTCGGAGTGGTAGATCTCTCGGATGAACTCCGCTGCTAAGAGCCGAGCCACCTCCTCACCAATAGCCTTTCTCTTCTGGACGGCGGACCGTCGGAGATGTTCTTTGACAGGTTTTACTTTTGAGTCAACTCGTAGGCGGTGCTCAGCCAGTCCCCTGGGAACACCCGGCATGTCAGAAGGCTTCCATGCGAAAATGTCCCAGTTCTCACGGAGGAACTGGATGAGCGCTTCTTCCTATTTGGAGTCGAGTGTTGTTGAGATATGAGTCGGAGCAGCACTGGGATCGGTCGGGTGAATGTGAGCCGGCTTCGTTTCGCCAGACGACTGAAAAGCTGATTCTGTAGTGGGCTTCTTGGCTCGCAACAAATCACTCGGGTCTGCAGTCTTCTGGTATTCCTGCAGCTCCACCACTGCCATCTGAGCATCAGCGATCTTTCAACCTTTCTGAAAACACTCTTCTGCTTTCTTCTGATTGCCCGTAACAGTGATCACACCTTTGGGACCAGGCATCTTCAATTTGAGATACACATAACATGGTCGAGCCATGAAGCGTGCATAAGCCGGGCTGCCCAAAATAGCGTGATAAGCACTCTGGAAATCTACAACTTCGAACGTCAACTTTTCTTTGCGGTAATTCTTGGAATCACCGAAAACCACATCAAGAGCAATCTGGCCGAGTGACTCGGCCTTCTTCCCAGGAATGACTCCATGGAAACTCATGTTGCTGGTGCTGAGTCTGGACATCGGAATGCCCATCCCTTTCAGCGTCTCAGCATACAGTATGTTCAAACCACTGCCGCCATCCATCAAGACTTTGGTCAGTCGAGTGCCTTCGACAACTGGGTCGACCACCAAAGCTTGCCTCCCAGGGGTGGCAATGTGTGTTGGGTGATCGGACTGGTCGAATGTGATGGCAGTCTGAGACCACTTCAGATAACTAGGTGTTGCTGGAGCAACCATATTCACCTCACGGTTGATAACTTTCAGTCGACTTTTGCTTTCAACATCAGCAAAAATCATCAGGGTGGAATTGACCTGAGGGTATCCATCATCACTGTCTTCCTTGTCCTCAACTTTGTCCGACTCCTTTTCCTTATCTTTGGGCTGCTTGCCCTGGAACTGCTGGATCAAGAGCCGACACTGTCGAGTGGTATGTTTCGGGTAAATGAACTTACCCTCTTCATCTTTCTTGGTGTGGATGTGACATGACAAATCCAACACATCATTTCTGTCTTGGCCTTTAACTTTCTTGAGGTTCCAAGGTCCTTTGGGTTTCCCCTTAAACTTTCCTTGAGTTACAGCCAAGGCTTCCCCAGGAGCAGCTGGCTCGGCTTTCCGCTTCTGTTTCCGATTGGAATTTCCTCCGGTTTCTTGAGCGACTGACTTGAGCTTGCCACTCCTGAGTCGATCCTCATCTTCACCATTAGCGTACTTGGTGGCAATCTCCATCATCCGATTCAGAGACATATCTCTGGTTCGACCGAATTTCAGATTTAGTTCTCTGTACTTGACGCCTTCTTTGAAGGCACAGACTGCTTGGTGGTCAGGCACATTCTCTACCGTGTGATGTAACGTGATCCATCTCTGGATGTAATCCCTCAAAGTTTCATTCGGCTTCTGCACGCAAGACCACAGTTCCGTCAGCTCTGCCGGTCGCTTGCATGTTCCTTCAAATGTGGTGACAAACACTCGGGCGAGATCTTCCCAAGTGTAAATGCTGCTAGGTGCTAACTAATTCAGCCACGCTCTGGCCGAGCCCTCCAACATGATAGGCAGGTGCTTCATGGCCACTTTATTATTGCCACCGCCAATCTGGACGGCCACTCGGTAGTCTTCAAGACAAGTATCGCGCTTGGAATCACCAGTGAACTTACTGACTCCAGTCGCCAACCTGAAGTTGGGAGGAATCACAGCGGCCCTGATGGCTCTACTAAAGCATTCTGGCCCCGAAACATGTACTCTGCTGCTGGTAGGTGCATCTCTGTCGTGACCTTCTCGGTGAGCTCTGTTCTTGTCGACCAAACCTTGAACGAGAATGGATCTCGCATCAAAGCCTGGTTCCCTGGAGTCGACTGGAATCCTTCGCCCAACACTATGAGGGCGCCGGTCATCCTGCTGTCGAGGCACATACGACCCGCTCCTCGGGGGAGGGGTGGGCACTCGACGTCGATCGTCGCGATCGAATCGGTGATCATACTGCTCACGGTTCCCGTACTGATTACGCCGGTCCCCACGTCCCTCACGCCTCGGGGGCGATCTTGGGCTATGAGCCGACTGGACTGTGTCTGCAGCAACGAATCTGCTATGAATCTTGTTCCGCGACTGAGAAACAACGAAATTCTGGTCTCCTGCTGCCCGGAGTAACGCTCTGATCTGCAGCAAGCCTCTGCCAGCCTCCGACTGGGAAGGCTGAATCGACTCTACTATACGGGCTGCAGCTGCTAAATTCTGAATCGGAGTTCGATATACCTGCGGGGGCGGAAAGAGCTGACGTCGGCTGGATTCTGGAACCCGTTGTCGTGCACGCTCCTCGAGTGCCCGCTGGAGGTTCTCCATCGAGTGCGCTCGGCCAAGTTTGCCAGGCGCGCGTCCTCCAAGGCACGAGCCTCGAGGGTTTCTCCAACGATAGGAGTGTGCAGTGCATCCATGTTCCGGCGACGAAGTTCTTCTCTCTGCAGCGACGTGAGAGGATCGGGGATGCGACGGGTCGCCTCCACCTGCGCCTCCGTCGGTGCGGGGAAAATCGGGAGGACTGGGCGGTCCATCGACCATCAGAACCTCCGCCGCCGGATCACTGCTGTCGCACTCGGATGCGGTCTCTGTGGAGCTAGTCGACATGTCGAACAGGCCGTAGAGGGATTCGTCGGGCTTGATCGCCGCGACTTGAGGGGTGGTCGACTGGCGTGCCACCGCGTGTCTCACCCACCGCTGAAGTCTCGACCGACCGGAGTGCTTGCGCCGGCGGGAAACAGGGAGGGAGGACAACACAGGAGCCGACCGATAGTGGGTCGACGGTTGCCGCAAGAGGATGCCGCAGACGCACGCGCGAAAGTGCGTTGCCCCGCGGACAGGGAGTGCGTCCACGTCGAGCGGAGTCTCCTGAAGCCAAGCGGAGTCGTCGGCGATGAACGTGAGCGCGCCGAGACGGTTCTCGCGGCCCTCCACCAAAACTCCGCCAGAAACCATGATGATTTGGATCGGAAAAGATCGCAACTCCTCCAACAAATCGCTAAAACACCTGCCCCACGGTGGGCGCCAACTGTCGTGGTTCTAAGTCTGACAGTAATGTAGGTGGGTAGGTATGGAGAGGCAAGATCTTAGCTATGGAGTAGTTGTAAGCACACGAGGTTTACGAGTTTAGGCCCTTCTCGGAGAAAGTAATAGCCCTACATCTCGGAGCCCGGAGGCGGTCGACTGAATTATGCGTGTATGAATTACAGGGGTGTGAACCCTTTACACTGAGGAGGAGGTGGCTTATATAGAGTACGCTGGGCCCCTCCGGCCCTCAGTTGTGCAGGGTTTTAAATACATTAAGGTCGGGCGTTACTGGTAACGCCCCTAATAAAGTGCTATGATGATCATAAAAGCTACTTAATAACCGATCGAGTGGTTGGGTCTCCTGGCCGTCGAGTGGTTGGGTCTTGGTCGAGTGATTGCTTCTTGGTCGAATGTCTTCGAGTCTGTCGAGTGAAACACCTCCAAATCGATTGAAAAGTGATTTCTTCTAAAGATGTCCTTAAATAGGGCAGCTGGGACAGGTCCATGACCCTATTCTAAATACATAGCTTCATCAGCAGCCGCATCGTTAGATCGCCTCCCGCAGTTAGATAGGTGACCACGACTGGAGTTCTACGTCCTGCCCAATACGCCCAATATGTCACGCCACCAGAGAGGCTGCCGCCGGCAGCGACTGCTGGTGGTGGTGGCCGTAAAGACAACATGCCCAAAGAGGGGCTCACTGGCAGCAAGATCCGATGGGGAATGCCATTGCTCCAGTTCACCACGTTTCGATTCTGCTTCAGTTCTATGTAGCGGTATATTTGCCCCTTTGAGCCAAATTCAACCCGGCCATCTATTCCCGAAATATCTAGCCTACCATCTGCTCACCGTTCTTCAAACATTCATCCATTCATGACGTTGTAAAAGCTTTGAGTGCCAAGCAATGCCATAGAGAACCACATTCCCTGTTTTGCTTGGGAGTACCATAGCAAAACCAGGGGCAACACAAAAAATAAACCATATGAAATACTCCCTTCGTCCCAGCTCCGTCTCATAATGTAAGACGGGTTTTTGACACTACCTTAGTGTCAAAAAACATCATACATTATGGGGCGGAAGGAGTACCTGTTAAACGAAAAATATGGTATATGACTGTTATGGTCCACTGTCACATAACCTGTTTCATCTCGGTGTTTTCAATTACATAAATATACTGTGCGACAACAAAGATGTTGGAAACAAGGGATACCACAATATACTACCAACCATTGCTATCAAGGAGTGAAGGACTCTACATCAATGCCTTAGGACAAAGCTATACAGGAGTTTGAGGACTAAAGGCTAAGAGGCATACAAAACTCACAAAGAACAGAAGCACTCCTTTCATGTTTGTCACAAACAAATACTTCACAAGGACTAGCTAGCATTCAGCAACTCCCGGTAGATTAAATCGATGAACTCGTCACTCTGTTAGTCAATAGAAGAAGTGTTAAAAGCAAATAAAAGCACAAAGATTACAACTTGTTTTTCTTTCAATGCAGAACATACCTGAACAAGTCTCTGGAGGGCAACCTTAACTTTATCCCTCGAAATAATAGGTCCATCATTGTGTGCAGGAGTAAGGGATGCAGGAGGAGTTGGTGGTGGAAAGGGTTGAAGAAGTGGGGTACCATATGGTGGACGTTGGCTTGATGTGGAAGTTGGATGAAGAGGTGGCGCTGTAGGCATCAAGGATGAAGCCGGTTGCACCAAAGATGTGGAAGAGGATGACGGAGGCACAAAGAACGCCGGAGTTACAAGGTCTGTCGAGCGGCCAGCATGTGCATTAGTGTGGAGGGGCAGTGGTGGAGCTGATGAAGCACTCATTTGATGTGTTAGAGCAGAAGATGAAATGATCATTGGTACGTGGGAGGATGCAACGGACTCAGCGGGTGGGTGAGCTCTTCCGGTCATTGGTGCAGTTGGTACATTCCCAGCGTTTGCAACAACCTGCAAGTTTTTGTCCAGATAGAATTCAACAGGCGTGTTTGATACTATGAATAGCAGTAGAGTGTAAGTACCATGTATAGAACTGTAACCAGCAAAAAGCATAGCACTGGTATACATTTATAACTCAAGAATCACAATGGACAATGAATTCAAAAACCAGATAAATGAAGACACACTATCTTAAGCAAGGACATTTACGGGCAGCTTCCAGGATCACGCATTCCTCTTTCTTTACTAGAATTTGCATGTGAGGGATGAGGTGGTGGTGAACCAACCTCATATCATGTTCTCAAACAAAAAATAATAAATGAGGAATGAATTGTGTTAGGACGGAGTTAACCCCCGACCATGACCAAACTATTGCAAATATGTTGTCACATGACAGTGTAAAAAACAAATTAGAATGAAACAATGATAAAGTTCCGAGATAACTTACACTGAAATAACTGGCAAACGATTCATCAGGGGCATCAGAAACTACAGCGGTAGATGATGGAGGAGGTTCAAGGGGACCATCTATGGCAGAGGATGTAGGAACAGCCTCTAATTCCTCAAACTCACTGTCGCGCACCAAAATGATTCAGCAGAAGTACATTTAATACAAAACTCAAACAAAGCTCGAATACGATAAATGGACAAATGAATTCAAGAGATGAAACAAGTGGAAGTTCACAAGTACAGGAGAGAACCTTTTTATGGATGGCACTTTCGGCTTTGGGGGCACTTTCGCATAAGCATTCAGTATCCTGCATGAAAAGGATTGAAACAAAAAAAATTACTGCAAGATGAATAGCAGCAAACCACAGCTATATTGTGTACTAATTCCTACCGATAGGACAGAATCATTTATTGCAACTATTGATTTAGAAATTAGTGAATGCATACTTAAGACAACAAATAGTTCAAATGATCCCATACTGTAAGGACTACTTAACCAGTTCAATGCCTAAATGCAAATAGAGTATTCGGCAGTACTCAGTTAGGAAGTTCAAATATTCAACAGTTTCAGCTACAGAGTAAACAAAACTTCCAAAGTCCAATTCTTCCTCCGGTTTCCTTAAGATGTCATTTTGTTTAATGTTTGGATGGTCTTAAAAAAAATAAAACTTTGACCACTTGTTTTTACAATATATATTTGGTGTTTGCCAAACTATATACATTATGTGCACGTGATCTGAACACTACTAAATATATTGGTACCGAAGATATCAAAAGTCGGGTCATCAGGTACATTGACTACACACTTTACAAAAGGAAAAATAAGGCACTGATAGGTGGGGAGGGGGACTTTACCTTCCAAACAGACTAGCAACAGCTTCGCACTCCTGTTGGTTATAAAACCAAATGCCATTTACTTCCTGTGTGGCATTCCGATACAACAAATATGGAGGCTGGAGTTCGTATTCAAAATCACTCAACAAATCCTCCACGAGATTATCTGGCAAATATAAAACACGGTCTTTTCATGGGCCAATCATTTTACTGTATACCATTTAAAAACTAGCATCTACACAAGCTTAGCAGTTGTCAGTCTATGACTACACTCTAACAACCTTAACAAATCATGAAAACACACCTACTCCCTCTGTCCCATAATATAAGAACGTTTTTGACATTACACTAGTGTCAAAAACGTTCTTATATTTTGGGACGGAGGGAGTATCTTACTACAGTGAGAAACCGAACGCCAAACCCCAAAAAATATGGCTGCTTGTAGATGTGAATGACGAACTTTTCAGAGTGTGTTCACATGGGCATCTGTTTTACACACCTATCTTACTACAGTGAGAAACCGAACGCCAAACCCGAAAAAATATGGCTGCTTGTAGATGTGAATGACGAACTTTTCAGAGTGTGTTCACATGGGCATCTGTTTTGTGTGTATGTGACAGTTCACATCTTTTCTCTATACTAAATCTAAAACGTAACAAGAATTTAGATCGATACTATCTTGACATCTATCAGCTTTCTCCAGTGGATCCATTGACCAAGAATTAGTGCTCCAGGCCCCGTCGGACTTGTACGCAGCCATAGAGCTACTGCAAGATCCTAAACTTTCTACGATCATCTCTTCTTTCTTTTTTGGCAAACTCGAAGATCATCTTGGATCCCTTGTAACCATATCACTGAAGAGACTATCAGGCTGAATAAAAGCAGTGTCGTAAAAAACTAATTATTGTTTTTTCAATGTGGCTCAGCATCGATGATATAAAAAATGCAATTTTTCAGGGCTGCCCAAATTAGTTTGAAGCAACCAACATACTATAACCAAGTCATTTTCATGTAACTACTGCATTACTCCATCAATGATGATCTAATCTACTTAACACAAGTCAATCTTAGGATTTAGGAACCACTGCCATAAAAGGATGTTCCATCGTGATCTCTAGCCTATTTGAAGGACCCAGTTAACTACGAGAGATCGACCAACCAACTTAGATCAAAGATGCACGTACTCGTATTGCGCCTGTTCATGACGATGAACTGGAACCTCGGCTGTGAGTTCCTACACACAATCCTGATACAATTAGCTGCTACAGGCGCACAAAACCCACATATAAACCCAAAACATGTTTTCCCCAATCTGCCTCACCTCTTCACCACGAAGAGCGATCCCTCCACGTCCTTCCGGCTCTGCACGAAACAGAAATAAAATCAGATCGGATCGGATCGTGGTCGAGTGCAGCAAAGGCATCGGACGGGAGAGGAGCCCGCACCCACTGGTTGAGGTCGATGTTGAAGTCGTAGAGCGTGACGTGCGCGGCGGTGATGAGGATGTCTTCGACGGCGGGGTCGAGGCGCTGCAGGACGGTGAGGTTAAGCAGGCGCGTGCCCTCGGCGTCCATGGCCAGGTTCGGCGTCACTTTGCCCCCGTTTGGGTGCGGCGGCGGCGGCGGCATCGCGAGGTCGCCTCCGCGTTGGTGAGGGTAGGGGTGGGGGCGGGGGATCTGAGAGCTATCGAGTATCGAGTAGGATGTTTGCTGTTTATGGAACCATCACGCCATAAGAAGGCGACGCGGATCGCCAAATCGCTCCCAGATGTACGGCATCGCACAGTCCGGACCCTTTTTTCATCTTTTCTAATAAAAAAATGACTCATCAAAATTATTCGGGCCGGTCTGCAAATCCGGTGGTCTTGATATAGCTTCCCACAAAGTGGGCCCATGTCAAAAAAAAACCTTCTTTCGTTTCAGAACCCTCGCTCTACTTTCTATGTCGCATTCATGCCGGTCAGAGCAAACGAGACGGATTCCTACACACATTCATGTCAGCTGACCGGCATTCACACCGGCGTAGCAACCGAGTAGCATACTCCAATCATTGCCCGCACTGAAGCAAAGCTGGTCCACCTGCCCCCGCATTTAAGTCGAACGGCCGCGGACGCAAACCCTACAACATTACACCGCGGCCTCTCCTCTCCACAAATCCGCAAAGCTCCAACTTCGGGCGCTGCGATCGACAAGACCGACGGCTCAAACTGATTCTCCGCACGTCCCTCCAGATTCGGAAGGAGCTTAGCTCCAGGCGCCGCCGACTGCGTTACCCAGGCTCATTAGCATTGATCGTTCCCTTCAAGATGAAGCCAGAGCCCATCTCCTCGGATGACGAGGAGTAAAAGCCCCTCCTCGCTGAGGCTGCTGCGACGGACAAAGAATCCTCGTGGCAGATGTAGACGGTGATCCACCATTCGCTACTTCACGACCTTCCTTGCAAACACTATTTCTGGAAGGTTGAACTTAGGGGGCATATCTCCGGATATGTGTGTGCTTCATGTTGCACTTAATCCCCATTTGATTGAAAGACCAAATTTGGGGGCCCTAGTGAATGCACATTTCTGTAAGTAGAGGAAGCAGAGCTCATGGGGCCATCTGTATTCAGTGGCCTCATTACACACATTGCTAGCAGGTTTCACATCAACTTGGTTGAGAGTAGGGATGATAGAGGCGAAGGTGTCCAGGTATTTCGATGAGATAGCTATCGTTTTCGGTGGAAACTAACTTTGACGATGCGACTACAAACGTGTGACGTCGCGCCTTAGCAATCGCTAAACCAACTCCGAGAGGTTATTGACCATGCCAGAGCACGATCAATCTGATCATGAGGGTCTATTTTCTGCAAGCAAACGAAGAACAAGTAAGAAACTGAGATTGCAATTTGGGTATTGTGAATATAATAGAAAAGCTTTATTAATTAAGTGGGGTTTTGTGACGTCTTGGTCTGGTCGTTGAACACAAACAAAGGAGGCGAGTTGCAGCTATGGCGAAATTTAATCTAAACAAAATCCAAGACTAAGCACTGCCTTAAGGGCTATATTTATAGAAGAAAAGGGAGGGGATTTCGTCCACCCTTGGCAAGGTGGGATTAAAACACCACCTGAGTTGTTTACCCTACAATACAAACTCTAAAACGAGCCTATGAAATAGTATTTCGAAATTACATGGGCCTGGTCCAAAATCAAGGTGGCGCGGCACCTACAATAAGCTGTGGGCAAAATTTGTGAAAGGACATCTTGTATATTTCGTCCATGTCCTCGTATGCCATCATGGGGGTTTCAAAGTGCTGAAATCTCCATGAGAAACGCCATTTTGGTTCCCTTCGTGCGCGCCTTCATCTCCATGCTTGATCCCGCTCCAGTGTTTATCCCTCTTGTCCATGCATCATATTTTAGGGAGCATCATATTCTCGTGAACATTAGAATTATTCCCAAGAAATGAAAGTACCTGATAATTTAATTGGCGTGCACGAGCTCTAATAATTGGTTCAGTATGTATAGTAGCAGGGGTTGTGGGTGCAACTATGGTATTAATGTCCTCATCATACTTCCCTTGTTGAAATGAAGTCATCCTAAAAAAATTTAAATATGAAGTCGTCCTCGACGGAAACTCATCTTCCTCGCCCAAAAAAGGCTTCAAATTTGCAGTGTTAAAAGTGGGACTAACCCCAAAATTTGTTGGCAACTCAAATTTGTTTGCATTATCATTTATTTTCTCTAACACCTTAAAAGGGCCATCAGCATGTGGCATTAACTTTAACTTGCGCAAACCAGAAAATCTATCCTTGCACAAATGTTACCAAACAAGATCTCCAGGTGCAAAGACAACATGTTTTCTACCCTTATCTGCAACAAATTTGTACTTAGCATTCATATTCTCAATGTTTTTTTAGTTAACAAATGCATTTTTAAGATCAATTCAGCATGTTGTTTAGCATCAAAATTAACATTCTTCGAAGATGGAAGAGGCAACAAATCAATGGGTGCACGAGGTAGGAAACCATACACAATTTCAAAAGGGCACATCTTAACACTAGAATGCAGCGAACGATTATAAGCAAATTCAATATGAGGCAAGAATTCTTTCCACATGTTAAGGTTATTCTTCAAAACAACCCTAAGCATAATAGACAATGTTCTATTGACTACTTCATTGTTCATCAGTTTGGGGGTGACATGTACTACTGAGAAGCAATTTCATCCCCAACTTAGCCCATAAGCATCTCCAAAAGTGGCAAAGAAATTTAGTTTCATGATTTGAAACAATAGTATTTGGCACACCATGCAAGTGAATAATTTCACGAAAGAACAAATTGACAATATTAGCGGCATCATCGCTTTTATGACATGGTATAAAGTGTGCCATTTTTGAAAATCTATCCACGACAACAAATATGCTATCCTTCCCCTTCTTTGTTCAAGGTAAACCTAACACTAAGTCCACAGATATTTCCTTCCGTGGAACACTAGGTATAGGCAAAGGCATATATAAACCATGAGCATTGAGTCATTATAAGTGCATCTAGTGCCCCTTAGTGATTTTGGTGTATTGAAGACTTATAGGTTAAGGGACTAATGTGTTTGTGAGTGTACACAGGTCTATAAGTCTATGAGGAGTTTGATATTTACAGGAAAAGTCGACCCCTAAAAATGAATATCTTCGACTGAAGATTTTGGTATTTCTGAAGACTTTCATGAAGACTTTGAAAGTGAAGAAATTGGTGTGTCCGTGAAGACTTGATGTTCATGCGAGGAATATGAAGCTTGAAGACTTTCGTTTTCATAGTTTTGTTTTTCTCTTTCTTGAGTCATAAGAAACACCGTACTGTTAAAGGGGGTCGAGGAAATACTAAGGAAAATTTTCCATGTGATGCTCAACTCAAAATCCTACACCTACCAATCCCTTCGAGTGAAGCCATTGGAAATCTCATACAGTTCAGTCAATTTCTTCAGTGACAGAGACGAAGTTCTTCTGGTCTCTGAGGAATTTGTCCTGACTGAGGAGTTAGGAATTCGCCAGTGCGGATTGCCTACACAGCGAGGAACATGATAGCCCTGAGGATTTTGCTACTCAAAATTCCGACTGTTGTTGTGCTATGTGCCAGCTGTCCCAAAATATCTATGCACCTAACGGTCATATCATTGAAGGGCATTTATGTCTTATCATGTCGGGCTGCTCCCTAGGCTATAAATAGCCGCCCCCTACAACCACTAGCTGGTTGGCTACTCCGAGAGAAACTGACACTTGTCATTTGAGAGCAACCCATCCTCTGAGGACTTTGGGCGAAAATCATCAAGTGAGGAAAAACCAAAAACCCAAAACCCAAACACCTACAAACCCCAAGTGATTGAGCATCACTGAAGAGATTGATCCTGAGTGGATCCGACGCTTGTTACCTTTGAAGACGGTGCTTCTTCCAGACGGTTAGGCGTCATGGTCTAGAGCATCCAAGAGGAATTGTGGATCACCGAGTGACCGAGTTTGTGAAGGTTTGGAAGTCGCCTGAAGACTTACCACGAGTGATTGGACGAGGTCTGTGTGACCTTAGTTCAAGGAGAATACGGTGAGGACTAGGTGTCCGGGACTGTGTGTCCTCGAGTTTAAATACTCAGCCGCTCCAACCAGACGTACAACTGAGATAGCAGTTAGAACTGGTCTACCAAATCTTTGTCTTCACTAAGCTTACTGGTTCTATTCCCTCAACTCTTCCATTTCCTCATAACTATGTTGTGTGTTTGTTCATATATGTGTTTGAAGACTTTGACTGAAGACTTTCTCAATTTCCTCAGTTCAATTTCTTCAGTCTGTTTGTCTTCATCCTATGTTATCCTGTGATTACGCTTCCTGTACTCTGTGCCTGTCTTCATTTCATCATGATGATTATGCTTGTATTCTGTTATATTTACTTATGAGTACTTATTCCGCTGCTAGTAGTTCTTCGCTAAGGAATTTCCTCACCGGCAAATTCCTCAGTGAAGAATTTCATAAAAATCGACTATTCACCCCCCCTCTAGTCGATATAACGCACTTTCAATTGGTATCAGAGCAAGGTACTCCCTTGTTCCGTGTGATTTTGGTTTAACCGCCTGGAGTTTTAGTTATGTCGACCGCAGGTATGATCAAGGTCTCTGATGGGTGTCCTACCTTCGATGGGACGGACTACCCCTATTGGAAGAATAAGATGCGAATGCATCTTAAAGCAATTGATAACGATCTCTGGTATATTGTGGAAAATGGTGTTCCCTTAGTCACACCTTCTCTAAATGCTGCTGATGTGAAGAGATTCAAGCAACTCTACTCTCAAGCGAAGAATATCATATGTGGCCATCTAAGCAAAGGACAGTATGGCAGAGTGAGTGCCTTGGAGACAGCAAAGCTTATATGGGACAGGTTATCCAAAGTGAATGAAGGAGTCTCAACTCAGCGTGACTCTCGAGTTGATATTCTTCGCAATCTCTTCAATCGCTTCAAAAGACTCGACAATGAAAATGTTCAACAAACCTTCGATCGCTTCACTGACATCTCAAATGAGCTTCAAGCACTTGGTGCCACTAACATCACCGACCATGAGGTGGTGAAGAAATTGCTGAGATCGCTTGATTCCTCATTTGACACTCTGGCATTGA